GACGATCATAGACCAATTGCCTGGAACCCAGAAGAAAATTTAAAGAATTGAACTTTGATTTGATTTATTTCTTTACCGACGAGAGGTTGAAGGTTATGGGAAGAGCTGGCGTTGACATTGACAACGTGGATCTGGTTGTGGCGACTGAGTTCGGGTGCTTGGTGGTGAATGTCCCCACGGCCAACACCGTTGCGGCCGTTGAGCACATGATTGCTCTCGTCAAATGGCCCGACTTTTAGATCTATTGATTCTAGGCTAGTCTCTTGCCTGGCTTGGGCTGGGTGCCAACCTATTAGGTTGGGGTGGAGCAAATTGAAGGGAAGCCGGTCTGTTTTTTGGTCTGGGTGCCGGCTTAAGATCAGCAGTGGAACTGCTTTTATGATATGCTTTCATCTCATGCTTGCTTTTGCTTACATTAATGCGAGAGGTTTTTCTGTAACCATCACACGAGGTGGTACACCACGTGTCCACTCTCCATTAATGCAATTGTTTTATGTTATCTTGATGATTGTGGTTTATGCTTTGGGAACCTTTATTGGGAAATGTTTTACTACCGTGCATTACTTTCTTGGGAGTTGCCATGCTTATGCAATATTATGACTTGAGACATTATCCATGGCATGTTTTCGTATGATTTACTTGCTCGTCATATATGCTTGATGATGTCCAAAGATGCTTTAATAGTAGTTTCTTGGCCAATGACCAACTCTATGTGTATGTTCACATGCACCGGTGCGTTCATGCATTTACTTTGGATACAGATTAGGTGTTAGCATGTACTAGGCAAATAGGACTTATATGGGAGCGCATAGCACCAATTTCACATATATGTAGTACTAGAACATAAACATTATACACCTAGTCTATTCATTTCATAGGATCTTTACATAAACTCATGTGTCTGCATTGTCTGATGAGCATCCCATAATGTTGATTATTGATTTATGATTACTGCTGCTTGGATTTCGACTTTCCGTTAGTGCTATGAAATATTATATTTAATGTTATTAACATTATCAATGACATACTCTGGAATTGTGATTCTACTTGTCTTTTTCCTCTAAATAATTTTATATTTCGAGTAAGAGTATTATTACATTATTCTTTTATCACCTCGTTTTGCGTACTTACATAGTACAATACTATGCGAACTCATATTTGTTTTACAGCTAAGGATTACCTACACTTTTGAAAAGAAAAGGTTTTAGAAAAACTATTACTTTGCCCACTCACATTTCTATTTTGCGCCCCTCCAAGTCCTAGTATTGATTTCCTAGTATGGCGAGAGCTTTTTGATGGTTTTGCTGACCTTGATACAACGTACGAATTTACTTTCCCTTTTTTGTATAAATGTCCATCATGTTTGAGATGAGAATATTACAATTTACTATTTATTTATACTTTGGCATTCACGTGTGTATTAATAGCTCCAACCCTTTTATGCGCACTCACGATTAGTTTTATACTTAGACTTTTAGGTTAGATTTAATGCTCTCACACTTTTTCCACATCATCTACATTTTATGGCTTCGTTACTTTTTATGTATCGGCCAATACGATTTGATTCGAGTGTCCATATGAACATTCTAGGTCAAGGTGTGTCACCTATGGTTTTAGAAAATTGTAATTACTCATTATTCGATCATAAGTCTAACAGTAAGTGATTATTTTACTTTTGTTATTTAACTTTCTCCTCCATCATTGAATTAAGATCAAATGATAGATGACGATAATTTTCTTGAACCATGTGTTCTAGGAGAATGAGATTGATGAAATTTAGATGTTTTTGTTTTCTAATAAAAATTATTACTAGCAACGTCCTTTTCTTCTTATTCTTTTAGAAAATTGATAATGAGGAGGAGAACTAATCAAACATAGAAAATTGGGTGTAGAGTGATGAAGAGAGAGCAACTTACACGGTAAATAATATACTTCATTGGAACGTTCTATGCTAATGATAAAATATTATATAAATAAAAATTTACACATATGATTATATCATTAATAAAAAGTAATATGATAATATTATGTACTCGTGTTATGAATGATTTCTCAAAAATGGGCACCAAACTGGAAGCGACAAGGATTATCTGCCATCCGACTTCCGATGCCCTCCCGTGTTCTCCTGTTTGTGTAGTTACGGTTAAGTCATGTCAACAATTTATATTACTATTCATTTTTGTTTTATTATCTCTATAAAAAAATATAAAATATTAATGTGACTTAACCTTGATCACACAAAATAAGAAGACACGGAAGAGCACCGGAAATAAGAGAGAAGACAATTCTTGTCCAACTGGAAGGCATCACTGCCTTAAGAGTTATATAGGGAAGTATGACACCGAACGGGTTTTGGGAAACAAAGCTTTGATGGTTTGATTGTAGAACAGCTAGCTAGCTGGGGCCATCTAGTCTAGCCAACACACTCGTCTGTCGATGCATAGATTACAACATTGTTTTCTTTTTCTTAGTCAAGTTGTCAACTTGACAAGTTGTGAGTTTGTCAGTTGTTCCAAATAAACCACTCCTCTAACAGGATTCTCTTTCATTTTTTTTCTTTTCCTTCCATCTTTTTCTTTTACACTTTCTTATTTTATCTTTTTTTTATTATAAAAAATTAATATAAAATATTGACGTAACTTAACTGTCATCATCGTTCAAATATGAAAAAAAAAAAAAAAGGGAAAAAAAAAGAGGATAGAATCCTATTCCTCTAAAATTTTCAATCATAAATCTGTCTCCCTCTCTCTCAACAAGTTGAGCGTAGAGTTAGCTAGGTGGGTCCACCTAAGCATAGTTCCTATAATCTTCCCTACTAATTAAACAATATCAATAGACTAGTTTCTTGTTAAGCCTTTGTGTAGATCAATAAAAAAGGATCTCGCAATTATGTCAGTTCTGAGAGATCTTAAGGATCTCTTAATTATGTTCGTTCATAGTACATCGTACGGTTAGAAATTATTTAAAATTTAAAATTCAAATATAAATAGTACATAACGAAAACTGACCGCACAATATATGATAAACGAATACGATTGTGGTATCCCTAGGATCTTTAGGAAAAGAATCCGACAATCAATCTAAGTGGTGAGAGACGATGAATTAATAACTAATAAGTTAGGATTAGAACATACCATATGGTAAATATATCGTGTTTGAATGGAAATACCCAAATGCACCCGTTTAAAACTTTAAATAAAAATTCACACCACCTGTCATTATATAAATGAAGAGAGGTTTTTTTTTTTTTTTTTTCAAGTTGTTAATTTTTTGATTAAACTTTGTTTACTACCCTAATGTTTCGTGGTTTTTAACATTTAGTACATAAAGTTTTTTTTAGTTCTAGAGTCATACCTAAAGTGTAAATTTTGGACAGTCTCATATATCCGTTAGTCAAACCGTTAAGTTTCCAGTTAAGTAATGACGTGACGCCCATGTGGATAATGACTAGGCGCTACGTGTGATATAGGCCCACATAAATATTAAAAATTAAAAAAAAAAATATTTCTGGGTTGTCCCCTACCTTAACCCCCGACACCCATCATCCTTGCCCTCTTCTCTCGCTTCGACGCCATCCCCAAGCCCTCCCTCCCTTCTCTCATGTACCCACTCAACCCTCTTCAATCCCCCGCACATCCAACCTTCCCCCTCCCTCTTCAACTCCACTCTTTTCTCCCCTGATCCTTCCATACCCGACCCACCTCTCCCTTACCACCATACCCTAACCCCACCCATTTGATGGGCAGTGGTCAACAAAACCCAGATTTATGGCCGAAGAGTCACACCCACCAGATTTGTCAACGGTGGAGAACAAAACCCAGCGGCCAGAGAAGACGGTGATGGTAGCGGCGTTTCGAGTAGACGAAAGGAACCCGTCAATTGCACATGGCAGCAACCTCGACCGGTCAGATGACGACGTTTCACCTTGATTGCAGGTCTGAGGCTTCGTTGGACTATGTGGACCGGGAATTTAAGGAATAGACGCTCAGACGTCTCTGATTTGATGAAAAAGGCAAGAGACTTAAAAATGGTTGTGAGATCTAAGATTGAGGGTTTTCGTTGGTTTTGAAGAAATCAGAGGCATTGTTTGGGTTTTCTGCGAAATGGAGGATGCAGAGGGAAGTGGGGTGAGGGTGAGGGTGAGGGTGCAAAGGACGAATCTGGAGGTGGGTTTAGATGAGGGGCTGCTGGTCCAGGGGGATGTCCTTCTTGGCTTGGATCTTGGCCTTGACATTGTCGATGGTGTCGAAGAGCGGAGAGAAGCAAGAGCAAAGAGAGGTTGAGAGATAGAGAGAGTGTGTGCAGGGGTAGGGTTTTTTTTAAATTTTAATTTTTTTTTATAAATACTTTTATTTAATTATTTATTTTAATATTTTAATATTTTTAATGACACGTGGCGCACAGTCATTGTCCACATGGGCGCCACGTCATCACTTAACTGGAAACTTAACGGTTTAACTAACAGATGTATGAGACTGTTCCAAAATTTACACTTTAGGTATGATTATGAGACGAAAAAAACTTTATGTACTAAATGTTGAAAACCATGAAACATTAGGGTAATAAACAGAATTTAACCCTTAATTTTTTAACCATGTAGTTCACCACTTGTATAGTGATACATAGTGTTCTATTTTGTATCCCGGACACATTGAATTATAGTAGGGAAAAAAAAAATTAATGTGTCCAGAACATGAAATAGTACACCACATGTAATTATCCATTAAATTTTGGTCCAAATGTTAAGCAAAGATATTAGTGGTAAACCATAAACAAAGCAAACACAAAACAAAAGAAGAAAACATTGGTTAAAGGTAGATGAGTTGGAGCGCAGTCTGGCAGTGTGACTTTCGCGGAGACCCTCTGAAAAAGAAAAGTACTAAAATCAATAATACATCCAGTATTATTGGACAGGTAAGCAGGCACTTGCATGAGCCCGCCCTACTGCCTTCCATGCATCATCATTCATCAGTCTCTCCCTATAAATCCACACACTAATGTCTCATAACATACAAGCCAAACTAAGATACTCCCCTTCTTCTTCTTCCATAAATATAATCAAGATGGCTTTGTCATCAAGAACGCTCGTAGCTTCCATGCTTGTCTCTTTTCTGCTTCTCCAATATCTCACTAAAGCAGCTAATCATCAGTATGAGACGATAATATATCGACACATATATACCATATGTTTCTTTCAACTTTCAAATGGTGTATTCAAATTTTCTTCAATGATTTAAGAAAATATATGAATTGAGAAGTATTTGTGCCTAACTATTTTCAGATGGACGTCAATGGAGCACCAAGCCCCCAGGCCCCGACATTAGGTACGTCACGCTCTTTCATCTTCGATTCTCTCGCTAATCTCACCGTTACTGTGATTATGACCATTTAATCTATTGACATCCAGTCTTTAAGAAAATTTGAGTTCATAACTTACCATGAAAGTTGTTAGTTATAATTTCATATGTCCAATTAATTAATTGTGCAAAATATATGTGTGCAGATTGTGGGGTGGCATGTGAAGGAAGGTGCAAACTATCATCGAGGCCTCGTCTCTGCAAAAGGGCATGTGGGAGTTGTTGTGACAAGTGCAATTGTGTTCCTCCAGGCACTTCTGGCAACTATGAGTCATGTCCTTGCTATTTTAACCTCAAAACCCACAATGACACCCGCAAATGCCCTTAATACGCTTGTAAGCAATGCATAATGAAACTTTTGAAGTGAGAGTAATAATTTCCTTTCTATTATTCAATTAAAATTTCACCAAAATAAATAAAACGATAATGTTTTGGCATGGAGATTGTATTAAGATTGCATTGTAACTAATAAAAACTTTTTTTTTTTAAATTCTTTTGTTTTATTTGATGAGTATTCAATTTGTTGGATGATGTATTTTTATTTGTTTTTTAAGTTATCAATAATTTTTTGAAGTTCCCTAATTATTTAGTAAATTAACATAAACATGTCGTAAGTGGTGAATTGCCCTAGTAAATAGGATATTCCTCTTCAACCTAACGTATCTTGAGTTTAAATTCTTCCTCTTCTCATTATACTTAGAGAAAATTGTAGCAACAGTCTCTCAACTTTAACTCAATTGGAGCAATGGTTTCTCAATAAAAATTCATGACCATTGGTCTCTTAACTCGTTAAAACGTGCAACTATGGTCATTTTCGTCAAGTTCGTTAGAACATTTTCACGTTCCATGCACGTGAGGCTAAATCAAGGGGCAAATATGAGAAAATTGTAGAAATAGTCCCTTAACTTTAACTCTATTGGAGAAATTATCCCTCAACTTTAACCAAATTGGAGCAACGGTCTCTCAACTTTAATCCAATTGTAACAATGATTCTTCCAACATGACTCGTTCTGATAGAGTTTATGAAAAAGATCATAGCTGCACGTTTTGAGAAATTAAAGGACCAATGGTCATGGATTTTTAGTTGAAAGACCATTGCTTCAATTGGATTAAAGTTGAATGACTATTGCTATAATTTCTTTCATTACTTTAACTTAGAATAGTAATATCACTTATAATAAATAAATAAAACATAAATATATCATGCAGTTTACTAATCCCCTCTGCTCGATATACACCATATGGTCGTAAAGTTAAATTCTTGTGTGAGATAAATAATCTACGTATGGAGTTATAACCTCTCCCGGAGCACGTGTATAAACATACATATGCATTACATGTTGGTGTATTTCCTTCTTTCCTTTTTCGATTATTTTGCTCCTTTAGTTTTTTTCTTGAAAATTATTTGGCTCCTAGATCACACGTATGTATTGTTAATCATGCTTAGTGAGAGTGAGATTTTCTATAATTAATTTAATCCCGACAGTTTTCAAAGTTCACACTCGATTGGTCAAATGAATCTGAGCTGTGCATCCCCAATCAAATAAAAAAGAAGAGCTGAGCTGTACGTCACTCTACCAAATAACTACTCCCATACGGAAAATAATCATTGCCGGATCCTTTTTCTGATTAATTTTCATTAGGTAATATTTATATTTAATTTTAAATTTTAAATTATTTCTGACTACCTAATATACGATGAATTGATATGATTACAAGATCCCCCCATACAACACAACTTGAACTCGGCCACCAAATATTCTCTTTTTTCTCAGAGATCTTTCGGTGTACTTCACTAGTACGTGACGATATAATCTTAACTACATATTATTAAAACTTTAATTAAAATCTTATAAATTATCTTTTAATCACCCTAATAAAAACCGAATAGAAATTAAAACCAAAGGTAGTAATATAATTTCACACAAACTAAATATTAATTTTTTTAAGCCTCACCGACATATGATTATAACATATCTCTAATATTAAGAAATTAAAAAATAAATAAATAAAATAAAATAAAAAATAAAAAAAAAACCCTTATCCCCTCTCTTCCAACTCACACATTATCTCTCACTCTCTTCCTCTTTCCTTCTATTTTAAAAACAAAAACAAAAAATATGTGCTTTTTTTTTTTTTTTACCAAAAGAGAAAACGTTACAATTTTATATAACATACAAATTCTAAAAGGTGTTAGGCGTTAGTGGGGCGGTGATTGGGACCTAGCGCTTTGGCAGCTAAGTTGGGTCTAAGTGACACACCCCGACTTGAATGTCCACCTGAACTCCGAATTAAGCTGTGTTGGCCAACACCCGGAAGTTGACGAAGCCATAAAGTATAGTGATGTGGAAAATGTGAATAAATTTAAACCTAAAAGTGCCTAAATAAGAGTGCGCATGTAAGCAGAAATGAGGTAGGATAATAATTATACCAGTAAAGGTAGCCACCTATACTAAGATTTTCCAAGAATTAATCTTCATCAAGTAATCACATAACGTCCATAATCGCATAATCTCGAATAAGCAAACATATCATATCAAGTGCTCATCGACACATACTGACACACGAGTTCCTGCAGACATATTTTGACATGAACATGACTGGGTGTAACAATAATATATGCTCTAGTACTACAATCACATGAAGACTGGCACAATGCGCAGCATATACGAGTCCTAATTGCCTATAGCAATCTAGGACATGACTAGTACCTACAATGGATCCAAAGTGAGCGTACGGTGCGATGTGCACATACACGTGAAAGACTGACCCTAGCTCGAGCGAGTACTAACGCCGGTGCGACAATGATGAACAATTAACATAAATACAATCACGTAACAGTAAATCGATAATTCATCGACATAATAGTAATAAATAAAATATTAATTAAAATCCCATAAAAGTACGCATACATGTGCATCCCGTAGGATTTATGATAATTTCGTAATTTTCTATTATTTCGCTAATTCTTATAAACATTAGTCTAATCTAGGCATACGTAGGAAATTCTTTTTCAAATGTATAAATGGAAACTAACAATCATATATATATATAAAAGAAAGATCCACTCACAGTTACTTGCGATGTCACATTTGTTCAAGCTAGAAAGCTAGAGTCTCCGATAGTAAAAATATTCCAGAGAATATTCCTAGAATATTCTGAGCCCATTTCAGAAATGGGCCGGGCTGGAATTATGGCCCAAAGGCTTGGGTTTAAGGTTTAGGCCGGGTTTGGGCCTGGTATGGGCTTAGGCCTTTTTTTTCAGGTTGGGTCGAGTTGACCTGGTTCTTGTCGCCGGTTTTCGCAAAGAAGAAAGCCAGAACTTTAGAAGCTCTGTTCATCCCCAAAACTCAGCTAAACCTAGCAACCCAATATATGAAGTTAAAGCCCAAGATTTGGCCAGAAATATACCATTGGGTTCCTCGACCGTGGCCAAAGTTGGCCAGAAAATAGCTCAAAATTGCCGGAGTATTTCCCCAAGGTGTTTTCTGCGTCCAAAACATCGCCAAAACATGTATACAACTCAAAAATCGAAACGGTGATATGGGTGTACGAGAGAGAGAAAGAGAGAGAGAAAGAGAGAGAGAAAGAGAGAGAGAGAGAGAGAGAGAGAGAGAGAAAGATGAGGTGGAGTGAAGGAGGAGAGGAAACACATGGCAAAAAATGATAGGAGAGTTTGGGTGAGTGTGGTGAGGTGGCAACAAAGGAGTGGAGGAAGTGAGGTGAGAGAGAGACCAAGGTATCTGGAGGTGAGGATCCAGAACAAGGGAAATGAGTGAGAGTCCCATGTGGGTGGGTCTCACTGGACAAAAAACTAAAAAAAAATGTTAAAATAATAAAGGGCCAATTACCTAGAATAGTGAAATTATTAAGGTACCTTTTGACTTCGTAAGTCCGTAAAATCCCCATAGTAACTCCAAATTCAATTCCGATTGTGCCTACGTGTTCGTATCGTCGCGTACTACACAAATATGCCAACAGAATGAGTCATATGTCTCTCTCTAAACAATGGTCAACGGAAATCAATCCTTACCTCTAGGGGCATTTTCGTCAATTCACTCTTTTAAAATTAATAAAATCGTAAAATTAGGGACGCGTTGTCACACTAAGGCATTGGTGGCTAAACTAGGTCTAGGCAGGAGTAGAGTGAGAAAATGTTATAAATCTTAGTGTTCTTGTTCTGGGTTTTGGCTTTGAAAAATGGAAGGTGGGAGTTGGGAATTTTGGATGCTGAGGGGCAATCGGGGAGACGCATAGGATGAGGAATAACAAAAAGTTAACAATATTAAGGTGTTTAACTAGGTGGACATGTGTCATCCTTTTAGAGAGGCTACAACTTTTTATGGGTGCAGAAGATTTCTACTAGTTTTGTAAAGTTTGCAATCTTAGTTACTTATGTTAACTTTTTGTTAAAATGTAGGGTAAATTATATTTTGCACCCTCAAGTTTGGGTGCAATTGCAACCATGTACATCATCTTTAAAACATTACAATTTGATTCATCAAATATAATTTAATTGCAATTTCATACAATCAGTTACATAATTTGTTAGATTGGTTGTTAAGTAATGATGTGGCAGTTATGGGACACAGTTTTAATAAGGTGGATGCCAACTTTGTGTCATGTGGATACAAATTTTAAAAAAAAAAACAATTATTGAAATATTTAATAAATTAAAGGGTAAATTACACTTTCATATCTCAGGTTTGGGTTATATTTCAATTCCTTACAACATCTTTAAAACATTTCACTTTCATACCTTAAGTACTATTTTATTTCAAAATAATACCTCCGTTACTTTTTTCATCCATTGATCCGTTAAATGTTGACGTGGCTACCACATATATGCCACGTGGCAGAAAAAAAAATATTTTTTAAAAAAACCTGAATTTTTACAAAAAAAAAAATTGAAACCCCAGCGACCCACATCTGCAAGAAGAAGAAGAAGAAGAGGAAGACGGAGGAAGAAAGAAAAAAAAAAAACCCCAAAATCCCCCATCATCCACCCCTGAAAATCCCACCCAAGATTAGGTGGATCTACCATAAAACCAGTCCAAAAATCATCTCAAACTCGTATTTTCAAAACTCACCCACACTGAAAATCACCAGATTGCGGAAGGAGGAAGGTCGCGCAGGGAGAGGGGGGAGTTGGGTCTCAAGCGGGGAGAGGACGGGAGGAAGGTCGCACGGGGAGAAGGGGAGCTGGGTCTCCGACTGGGAGGGGGGAGGGGGCAGGCGACAGGAGAAGGGTCGTGGGCGGAGGGTTTTTTTTTTTTGTCTTTTCTTCCTCCCTCCTCTTCCTCTTCTTCTTCCTGCTGCAGATGCGGGTCGCTCAAATTTTTTTCCCTTCTTCTTCTTCTTGCAGATGTGGGTTGCTTGGGGGGGGGGGAATGGATAGTTTCAATTTTTTTTCTTTCTTTCTTCCTCCCTCTTCTTCTTCTTGTTCTTGCAGATGTGGGTCACTGGGGGGAGGGATAGTTTCAATTTTTT